CCCTTCACACACCCCACACCCCGCCCAGTTCCTGTGAAAGCACACAGCTGCTGGGAGAGGTCGTCGTGGTGGAAAACGGAATAATAATGATTGTAAGTGCCACGACGGAAGTTCCACCTTCGAGAGATAAAATCATGTCTGAAGTGGTCTGACATCAATCAAAGGTCAGAGCCAAACAGCTTCCACCCTGACATTTTTGAGCTGTTCAAAAAACCTTGCCTCTGGTGGCCAAAGAAATGATCTTTGTTTTGGGATGAGTACGAGGCGTCTTTCCTGTCACCTTCTGCTGTCTAATGCCAGTCGACGCCTTTTATATCGGAGTGGGAACTTGTCGAAGGCAAGGACGTGCGTTGATTCCGACGTCGTGAGGCTGAACAAAATAATATTTAAGAATGCAAATATAAATGGGAGCAGGAAAATTTTAGGTACGCTGAAACCGATGTTCACTTTGGTAATTAACGGGATGCAGACCGAAGCCAAATGCGGATAAACACATCGAGATAACAGCGCAGATACATTACTTCCGGTTTGGAACGTGGAAATCTTCCACGAGCTGGATTTCTGTTGCACAGAGTGTAGGACGCAAATAAAATACGCCCCATCTTGTATCTCGAGGACTTTGTAGTGCTGAACACTCCCATAAGTCAGCCGAACCTCCCGAACCCTCGTTCATTTTTATTTATGAGTTGATAAACGGCGTACTGTCCCCCCCCCCTCCGTTTTTGACCTTGACTGTCCTTCCAGCACAGGAGTTTCGCCCAAGGCCCGACCACTTCTTAGCCAACACTTGACTTCATGGTTTGTCCTGTTAAGAGCCGATGAACGCCAAGGCCATTTGTGAATTTACGAGAATCCTCACCCCGGTCCTAAACCACTGCCCCTGGGCCGAATGTCAGGAGAGACAAGGGTCGAGGTGGTATTTCGGAGTCCGCTTATTCAAACGGTAGTTCCCTTTCAAAGATCTACAGAGCGCACATGACGCCCTGATGATGGCGGCAGCAACGACCTCTGAAACGTCGGTAAACATCTACCAGACTTCAAGGCGCAACAACCCAGAAGTTAGCCATCTTCCTGCGGTTTCTCGTTATTATCCTGTCTCTGCGGAGAAACTTTGGGTAAACATCTTAAAATAGGTCTCGACCGCTTCCTTCCGAATCGTTCCGAATTCATGATTCACGCATCATCCTGCCACTCGACGCTCTGGTGATCTGCGTACAAGAACGGATTACGTCAAACGCAATTTTGAGTCAGAGGCCCCCTCCTAGGCAGATTTGAGATTCTCACGGCCGTCTCCTTGGTCACTGGGCCGTGTAGTCGACGTTTCAGATGCGCTTCCTGGCTCCATCATCAGGGCAAAGAATACTCGTCGCATTTGCATTTGAATAAGCGTTCTCGAACAATCAAATATCGAAGAACCAGTTATGCTGAACCTTGTGGTTCGAATCGGGTACCACCCCCCCCCTCCCTTCACCTGCTAGGTCCTGCCTTTCACCCCCTGTCACGTGACTACCTGCAAACCTGCAAATTATAGGTTGGTCCTGAAAATTGTTTGTTTTGTTTGTTCAGTGACGTGTCAGCCCCTCTACGAGATAACCCACGTTTAACTTGGAATGCGGACCACGACGTGCGCCCTTCTTGCACTCCACAGTTCCCTCGACAGCGAACTCGGAGGTGACGAGGAAAAACCTTCTCAAAGGTCAACCATCGTCTGGGCTTCATAATTTCTGATCTTCACCAATCATCACCGGCGAGACCAGATCAAACGATGAGTGTTGCATGCAGCACGCATGGTTGAGATGAGAAATGCATTACAAAACCGCCGAAAGAGTCACCTTGCGAGACCAAAACATTGACACAGGGACAATATTAAAATGGATCTTAAATAAATACGAGGGGTTCATCTCGCGGGGTATAGGGTTCAGTTCTGATGACGCGTGAAGAAGATAATTAACCTTCAGTTTCCATAAAATTCGGGGAACTGCTTGACTGTCTGAGCAACTATCAGCTTCTCAAGGACTCTGCTTTATGGGGTTTGTCTGGAATGTCATTTCTTAATTGGCAACAGAGCTGATGCTAAACCGGTCTGAGCTTCAAGTCCGCCAGTGAGGAAATCCAACTGGACCCCAAGATCCGATAACCGGATCCGCGCACACTGTAAGGCTTATGCTGTTATCCTGCTACGCGTTTTGTGTACGTGTGAATCTGAGAATTCGCCAACTGAGGTGGCATTTCCCGATAACTTTGCCTTCACACACATTCATTACGAATCCTTGGGTCTCGGGTTCGATTCCCGGCGGTGCCCGAATTTATAACTTGTGTTGGGCAAGGCCGTGGTCTAGGCAACACGGAGTTTTCCTCCGTGGCATCCCAACAATTACTCCATTCACACACAGAAGAAGGCAATGGCAAACCACTTCTGGATCATCTGCCAAGAACGTATATGAACAGGTCCCAGTCCGAGAAAAGGATGGAAGGATCCTGTTCATATGGACCTGTCGTCAGACAGAACACTAAATAAATAAATAAAAAAGTTCATAATTCAACGATGTCAAAGGAAGAAAATTACTTGGATCATCAACGATTAAGTCTTGAGCTGTGGTGAAAGCAATTAATAGACACCCATTACGTTCCTCCTGCCTTCGGCCCTCTGGCTGTTAATCTGATCGACGAAAATAATTTTCTCGGGGAAATCCGAAAGTTCAGAACCGTCTTTTTAAAAAGTCCAAATTCTGATAAAATTCTTTGCGACGTGATTCTTCAAAAACGCATTTGAATTTACTGACCTCCACGGCTTTTGAATCGTTTTAGATTTTGTAATTTTATGCGATGACGAAGTCTAAAGGAACAGTTTTAGACGTTCCTCCTCGGTCTGTCGCCCTCTGCCGGGGTGCGAGACTAATTTTCACACCTCGTAGCCAATTCTGCGTTCCAGTACACCCCTTCGGCTTCCAAAGAAAGCACTCAGCTAGACCACTGACGCAGCAAACGGACTGAGGCTTTATAATTGGTCTTCGTGGCCACGGGGTAAAAGCTTCTACGGACAGCAGAGAAAACACATTTACTCTCGGAACAAACTCGAAAAGAAAAAGTTTATCTGAAGTCGCGGACGGGGTAACTTACATGCACGTTTTAAAAGAACTCCTTCCATCACGACGGTCCACTACCCCCACCCCC